ATCTTTATTCTCTCTCTCTCTCTCTTTTTTTTTTTTTGAATATTTTATTGTTGTTGTTGTTGTTTTGTGCCGTCGAGTCGGCCCCGACTCATAGCAACCCCTCCTTGGGTTTCCAAGGCAGTATCACTACGGAAGTAGGAATGCCCAACCTTCCTTCCAAGGAGTGGCTCTGTACATAGTAGGGGATTGGTAAATGCTTAGAGAAAAGACCTAGATGGCTGAGGGACCTGCTGATGAGTCTAGGGGTCCAATATTGGTGATGGCCCTGAGAACTTGGGAGTGAACATAGAGGGGCTGGTGGCACCCTGCAACAGAGAAAAAAGGTGATGGGGAAGGTGCAGGGAGGTGAACCAGGCTTGTCTGCGGTTGGGGAGGACAGAGCCACCTGCCTGAGTCCTCTCTGTAATGACCTTTACTCTCCATATTCAACTCTGCAGAATTCCCAGAAGTGAGGGTCACTCCTGAGGAGCAGATGGTGCAAATGAAGAAGAGCCAAGGGTGATGCAGGATTTGGGCTGATGGAAGAGACTCTACGGGGCCAGGGGCTGATCCCCAGACAGTGCCCTGCCCCCCAGCTCTCCCAATAGCCGGAGGGCTGAGGGGCCATGCGCATCTGTGAGCATGCGTGTGACAGGTGCAGGCAGTGGGGAGCAGAAAGGAGGACTTTTATACGTTTTGTACCTTTGTAACCAGAGAGATATGCTTGTTATTTTTCAGCTTTTCTGTCCCCCCTGGGGGTCTGAGGCTGGGCTGGTGGAGGGGAGACAGAGGGAGAGAGGTACAGAGCTTGGCCCTATTTGGGTCCCTGGTGAATCATGCACCCTTTTCTCTCATCCACCGGGGTGGAATCAGACAGCAGGGACAGGTGTCCACCCTCCCCCGGTTCATTTGAATATTGTCAGGGCCCAATTGTGCAGAACTGATCTTTCCTTTTTCTCGAATGTCCCAAGGGCCAAACTAGGGGACTGGAGATTGTTCTTGGAGGTGGAATCCTCTGACCTCCTCACAGAGGCTCTCTTGGGCACCTCTCCCTGTGGATGTGTGTGTTTATTACATGGAGTCTCTGCCACTTACTGCCTTATGACCTAGGACTGATGCTGTGGGGTGCTGGTGAAGCAGCAGAGGTCGTGTTTACAGAGCAAGGTTCCCTTCCTCCCACGGGGAGGGGCTCAGGCCTCTATTAAGACATTCCTACAGAGGGTAGGTAGACTGCCTGCCCCTGCCCCTGCCGTGAGCAAAAATTGTCTGTGGTACCATTTCATTCCCTAACACTGCCCCCTGCTAGAATTTATTCTGAGGGGGTAGGGTGGGAAGGAGAGCAAAGGGAGCAGAAACAAGGGAATTCAGGACTCAGAATGTAGGTGCTACCGCCTCCCTTGTTTACAGGAACCTCCCTGGCCCCAGGCACCCGGGCTGGCGGAAGTGACTCAATTCTACCCCTCCTTTCTTCCCTTAAAAGGGAGAAAGTGACTGTTAGAACCCTGTTAACAAAACTCTCTTTTGTTACTCTGATGTCCAGAATTGGGGACTTTTGAATTTTGTTACTTTGTTTACAGGTCAAGATATAAAATTTTTTTAAAAATTTTGTTTACAACTTAAAACTCTGAACTTTTACACTTTGTTTACAGTTGAGAATGTTTTTTCCTTTGTTTACAAGTGAAAGGTCAGGAAAGTGGGAGAGGGGGTTAGAGGAGCCACCTGTGAGGACCCTGGACCTGGCCATCTCAAGGGGGCATCTAAACCTCAGCTCCCTCTGGTGAAAGGTCAGCCCTGAGTACCCTGTCAAAACAGCAGACCCGGAAGGCCTGGAGAGTGGGTGTTCTCTTATCACTGGAAACGGTGGTACACGGTTGGGGCACGGTCTGTGCAGACACCCCACACAGGTGACTACTCTTGGGAGGCAGTTTCTGAAGAGATTAGAAGTTCCACTTCCCTGACTGGTGCCAAATCTCACCAGCCATGATTCCAGCTCTCCTTACCCAGAATGACCCCAGTGCTCGAAGGCCTGAGGGGCCTGCTGAGGGGTGGAGAGAGAGTGTGTTTGCTATGTCCTAGGTTCTGTAGATGGCCCTCTCTGGGGGTCTCCCCCCTCTCCAGCTCAGCGGCCTCCTTCCCTGTCTGTGTAAATTGTTCCGTGAAGCCGCGCTCTGTTTTGGGAATAAACTTCTATAGAAAACAGTTGCTGCCTTTTTCTGTTTGGGGGATTAGAGGGAGTAGCTATGAATGACTCAGACCAGACTGACCTTTAGGACTCTGAGGCAACCCCCAACCCCCATCAATTTATTTTTAGCCCATTCCTTCAGAGATATGGACTGGCTTTCCATCTGTTTGACGCTAAATTCTGGCTCCTGGCCTTGTGATTAAGAAGTGTGAGCACAGGTGCTGAGAATAGGGGGCCAAGGGAAATTCCCTGCTTGGTCGAAGAAGTGGCAAGAGGACTTCCTGAATCTCAGAAACTGAAGCCTTAGCTAGGGGTCAAACCAACCCCAGGAACTGCCCTTGCAGTCCTCAGCCCATTGACATCACTGCCCCCCAAATCCCCTCTGACTTGGAGCTGGCCGGCTCATCCCTGCTGCCCAGGATGCTTCCTTCAGCGTGAGGCCCCAGCTGTCCCAGGTGTGGGGCTGAGTGGCCAAGAGTTGGAGGGAGGTCTTGGGAACCATCGCTCTCGGGTCTCAAAGACATGCTTTCTTCAGAGGGAAAGCCTGAGGGTGGCGCCCTCGGCTGGAGACCTGAGAGGACCCCACAGATCCAGGCTCTCTCCGGAGAGCTAAGTCTCCGGTCATCAGCCTCGTTCCCAGCCCACCTAGACACATGGAGGCTACTCTTCCATATCCTCCAGGGTCTTTCTCCTTGGGTACTCGATCAGCTCTGCGGTTCCACCGGGATCCCGGCGGAGGGATCGGCGAGTCACCGGGGAGTAACGAGCCAGGCAGCGGGAAGGAAGGGGTTAATCCACCCAGTGACGCCTCACGTGGGCCATACCCCAGCACAGTGATTGATCCAAGCCTTCACCGCCTTGCCCGGGGATTGGCTGCCAGGAGCCGGCTGCTCTCTTCCCGGCCCCGCCTTCTAGCCCCTAGCGGCTGCCCTCTGGAACCTCTGGACCGGCCGCCGCCGGGCCCCTCCGGGCCGCTATCCCGAGATGGGGCTGTCAGAAGGGTCAGGGTGAGTGCGAGCGCGGCCCTGGTCCCGTGTGTTCGCGTTTGCGTGCGTATCGGCGAGGCGCGGACCTCCCCGTGACCCCCGCGCGGGCGCCCGGCCTGGGTCAGCTCAGAGGGGAATCACCAAGTCCGGACCAGGGATTTCCAGTCTGCAGCACCGCCCTTTACTGTTTTACCGATTTTCTCTAGACGGCTGCCCCTCTAGCAGTGAGGGATGGGCAAGAGCCGGCACGACCCCAGCCCCCGTGGGCTGTGCGGCAAGCCGCTCGAGCACTGCGCGAGGGCTGGCCGGGGCCCGCAGGGGGGCGGCTGCGTATGGAGTAGCCCTGGCCCAGAAGTTGCTCCGAATGGGGTGCCTTGAGGGCCGGAGGTCTTTGCAAGAAGTCCCAGGTAGGGGCCTGAATTCATCCAGCAACAATTGACCTGGGATTGCGCTTGGGCCCGCTAGGGTTCATGTGCCCTCCTAGAGGGCGGGGCCAGGGATCTAGGCTCCTCCCTCCAAGCTAAGGTCCTGCAGTGGGTGGGTGGGGTAGTGGGGCAGACACCTTTAACAAGACCTGAGTGAGTGACTCAAGGAGGAGGCGCGAGGGGGCTCAAAGATCTCTGCGGGACAGCGGTGCCAGGAGTCTCTGAGGATCTTCTTTGCACCCGCTCCACTCCTTCCAAACGGATCAGCCAGGTTAGAGTCCTTTCCCAGGTGTGTTCCTACTCCTCAGGTTGGAGTCTCTCCCCAAGAAAGAGCTTCCCCCACGTAAGATCGTCCAATGAAATCTATTTCCAGGTGGGGTCTTTCTCCCATTCCAGGTAGGAGTCTCCCCCTTCAGATGGGAGCCTTCTGGGCAGGTAAGAGAGCTTCCCTCAGACTAGAACTTCCTGCCAGATGAGAGGTTCTCCCCAGGTCAGAACTTTCCTGGCTGGGGAAAATGTCTCAGCAGATGAAAGCTTTCTCCAAGATAATATTCCCCCTCTGAGATCTATTCTTGGAGAGATTTATTCGCAGGAGAGCTTCCCCCCAGATCAGAACTTTCCTGGCAGGTGAAAAATTTCCCATCAGGTGAGAGCTTCCTTCTCCAAGTAGATCCCCCTACTGACAACTATTCCCAGGTGAGATCTCTCCACCACTCCAGGTGGGAGCCTCTCCCTACAGGTGAGAGCTTCCCTTTCCAAGTGAGATTCCCCACTTCCCAGAGCTCCCCAAAGGGGAGAGCCATCCTCTGGCTTTCCCACACTAGGCCTGAGCTTATATACTAACCTGGATCCTGGGGCTGGAAGTCCAGGGGCAACCTTGTGTTAGAGAAGAGGATCTCATGTAGAGCCCTGAAACTTAGAGAGGGTTGCTGGAAGAACTGCAGCCAGGATTTGCTGGATCCCTTCCCAAAGTGTGCTCTTAGCCAGCCAGCACTGAACTCATGGGGCAGCTAGATAAAGACTCAGACTGGCCAGGGATTGGCTGGGGAAAGGCAATGGGCTGGAAGAGGCAGTTATTCCGGGGCACACAGGGCCGGGCAGCCACACCTGGACTGGAGGTATGGATCATGCTCATCCTGCTGTCTCTTCATGGGAGACTTTGGCCCAGGAGGAGACTTCCACTAGCCAAAGTCCAGGCACTGCTCCTGTTTGGGTGTGGGCATGGGGCCTACGGAGGGCAGCTGAGGCCAGGACCTGGAAAAATCAGGTGGGCCTTTCCCTTATCCCAGGTAGAGGCTGGGCCAGGGGTGCCCTTATAGTGTGTCTCTTGTCTTGCCATCCCCTAGACCAAGGGACACGCAGGCACTGCTTCCTGCCACACAGGCAATGGAGCTGCAGAGGCGAGACTACCATGTAGAGCGGCCACTGCTGAACCAAAAACAGCTGGAAGAGCTGGGGCACTGGAGTTCAGCACCCCGGACCCACCAGTGGCGGAGCTGGTTTCAGTAAGGCCAAGGATGGTAGTTAGGGGCTCTGGCATTGTCAGGTAGCCTCTGTTCCTAATACTTAACCCCTCGTGTCCCTAGGTGCTCCCGTGCTCGAGCCCATGCCCTACTGTTCCAGCACCTCCCAGTTTTGGCTTGGCTGCCTCGATATCGCGTGCGTGACTGGCTCCTGGGTGACCTGCTGTCTGGCCTGAGTGTAGCCATCATGCAGTTACCACAGGGTGAGCTACCTCTGATCTGGAGGCTCTAATCTTTGATCCTTGGGTGGTGAACCCAACCCTTCAAGGCCCTGGTCTGGAAGCCCTGTGGTTTGTGACCCCCCCTAACCCTGGAGCCCAGACCCCTGCCCCTGGAACCATGGCTCCTGACTCAGCCTTTCAAGTTCCTGGCCTCTGAGTTTGCATTGCCACCATTTCACCCCAGGCCTGGCCTATGCCCTCCTGGCTGGACTGCCTCCTGTGTTCGGTCTCTACAGTTCTTTCTACCCAGTCTTCATCTACTTCCTATTTGGCACTTCCCGGCACATCTCTGTGGGTGAGTGGAATAGGCTAGGCCCTGTAGGAGGATGCACATCCACTATGGAAGAAAGGGTGAAGGAGGACTGAGCAAGGCAGTGGAGCTAGGGGAAGATTGAGGCACTGGTGCTAGGCAGCTGGGAGGTTAGCTGGGAGGTCATCCCTAGGCAGGACTGGGCTGTTGACCACGGGACCACAGATTCAGTGTCCCTCAAGGCCCTGGCTCCGGGAAGATTTGGTGAGGCAGCTTTAGGGCCAAGGGCCCTGGCAGAATCTTCACCAACATGAGGCAAGTCATATCCCCTTCATCATTCCATCCTTCACAAGAGGAGTGGTTCTTGGGTCAATGGATTAAAGTGGACCAATGGGCACTGCCCCCTGTGTTCAGGGCCAACTTTTGCTAGCCATCTTCCAGAGACCTTGAGTATAGGATCCACTCCTGATCCTGGCAGTATCAGACCACCAACTTGACTCCCTGTATTGACACAGCTGTAGGCTGAAGGTATTAGTCCTAGAATTGGATATTTCCTGGCCTCTCCCTTAAGACCAAGGCCCCAAGACAGGGAAGTGTCCTTTCCCCTTTAGACCTGCCCTGCTTTGTTCCTGCAGGGACCTTTGCTGTCATGTCTGTGATGGTGGGCAGTGTGACAGAGTCCCTAGCCCCGGATGATGACTTCTCTCAGGCCTTGAATGCCACGGTCAATGAGGCAGCCAGAGATGCTGCCCGGGTGCAGCTAGCCTCCACGCTCAGTGTCCTGGTTGGCCTTTTTCAGGTGTGGGACAATCAGGAGTGAGTGAATCCCAGTGTCCCCCAATCCCTCTGTCTATACCCCTGCCAGTTCCTTTGAGTGTCTAACCATTAGTCTTGCTGTTCACTCATCCCCCTGAGCCCATCTGCCTCAAGTTCCAGCCACCCTTAGCACCTCCACCTCACCTGACAGTCTCCTGCTTCCCACAGGTGGGGCTGGGCTTGGTCCACTTTGGCTTTGTGGTCACCTACCTGTCAGAGCCTCTGGTCCGTGGCTATACCACGGCTGCATCCATCCAGGTCTTCGTGTCGCAGCTCAAGTATGTGTTTGGCCTTCATCTGAGGAGCCGCTCTAGGCCACTGTCTCTCATCTATGTGAGTGAGGATGGGAGACAGGCTGGATGAATGTGCCCTAAGACTTTTGAGTGCTGGCTGTGACCTCCACCTCTCTAACAGACAGTGCTAGAGGTCTGCTGGAACCTGCCCCACAGTGTGGTCGGCACCATCATCACTGCAGCTGTGGCGGGCGTGGTACTTGTAGGGGTGAAGCTGTTGAATGACAAGTTGCAGCGGCACCTGCCCATACCACTGCCTGGGGAACTGCTCACGGTTAGATGGCCAGGGGAGAAGGACAAGTGAAGGTGTATCCATGCCATGTGGGCAGCCCTCAAGTATTTGAGGGCCATTTGGGGTGGGCCCTTCCAGGGTTCCTGGGAGTTAAGGGGCACCACAGCAGAAAGCCCCCATATTGGTAGCTCCCTTCACCTCCTGACAGTGTTTCCCCCTTCCCCAAAATGGTCATGTCTTTCTCTCATCCTACTGAGAACTTCTTTGCACTCCTTGGAAGATTTTTCACCAGCCCCCTTCCTTACCCCCAAAATAGTTTACCCATCTCCCCTCCCCTGATTCCACCCTCTCCCTTCCTTGTCTCTGCCCTCTCCCTACAGCTCATAGGGGCCACAGCAATCTCCTATGGCGTGGACCTGAAGCAGAAATTTAAGGTGGACGTTGTGGGCACCATCCCTGCAGGGTGAGCACTGGTCTGCTGTCAGGTCAGGGAGGGTTAGATACCCAAAGCCAGGGCCTTCCTTTGGCCTCACAGATGCCCCCCACAGGCTGGTGCCCCCAGTGGCTCCCAGCCCCGAGCTGTTCGTAAAGCTTGTGGGAAATGCCTTCACCATCGCTGTGGTTGGGTTCGCTATTGCCATCTCGCTGGGGAAGATCTTCGCCCTGAGACATGGCTACCGGGTGGACAGCAACCAGGTCTGAGGGACAGGGGTATGTTGGGGGTAGCCAGGTCTACAGGGGCCATGGGGACTGGGGATATGGAGGGTCAGGTGGGACATAGGTGTGCCAGGACCATGTGGGGGACACATGGGGACAGCAGCAAGTCTTTGGGTGCAGTTGGCTGGGGGTGGGGGTGGGGACACATAGGCCCAGACACAGTGGAATGATGGCTAGGTGCTGCTAGGGATGTTTCTCACACACACCCATACTCCTTCCCTCAGGAGCTGGTGGCCCTTGGCCTCAGTAACTTCATTGGGGGCATCTTCCAGTGTTTCCCCATCAGCTGCTCCATGTCTCGGAGCCTAGTACAGGAGAGTGCTGGGGGGAACACACAGGTGGGCACCCACACACTGCTTTGCCAGGGTCATCCCCTCTTTGTCCATCCCCCAACCCCTTGCCCTGCCCTGCCCCTTGCTCACCGCTGCTGACTTCCCACTCAGCCCTATTTATCCTTGCTCACCCCTTCTCACACCTACTCCTACTCAACCACCCCCGCTTACCCCTACCCCCACTCACCCCATACCCCCTTGTTGACCTTACCTTCACTTGCTCACCCCCCCATCCTACAGGTGGCTGGAGCTGTCTCCGCTCTCTTTATCCTCATCATCATTGTCAAACTTGGAGAACTCTTCCAAGACCTGCCTAAGGTGAGCCCACACCCTCACCCATCTGGCTTGGGGACCTTGGCCTGGCCTGGGGCTCAGAGCAGTCAGTCAGGACCAAGGTGAGGGAAAGGGATATAAGGTCATGTCCTGTTTTTCAAAGTTGACATCTTTGGAGTGAGACTTAGAATCAAGGGTCGGGGGTTAGAGCCTTTCAGAGTCAGAGTCAAGTTGCTAGGGACAAGGATGGACAGTGGTCAGTGTTGGGGTTATGCTCTGGTGCTGGGGGTCGCATTGTTAGTATCTATTATCTCTCAATGACACCCTCCACCCTACCCCCTGCCCCAGGCAGTCCTCGCAGCCACAATTATTGTGAATCTGAAGGGCATGTTGATGCAGTTTAAGGACATATGCTCTCTCTGGAAGGCAAATCGAGTGGATCTGGTGAGAGGCCTGGGAGCCCAGGGCTGGGACTGGGAGGCCTTCAGCTCAGTGACTGATCTAGACTGTTGACTACTGCTCCTCTGTTCTCAGCTCATCTGGCTGGTGACCTTTGTGGCCACCATCCTACTGAACTTGGACCTTGGCCTGGCAGTTGCAGTGGTCTTCTCCCTCCTGCTTGTGGTGGTCCGCACACAGCTGTGAGTCAACTGCTTTTGCTCCCCCCGCCCATTCTAGGTAGGGAGGGAGGGAGTGAGGTTACACTGGCTTCCCCCAGCCCTGCCCACATCTCTGGGTGGACTCCAGTCTCCTTAGCACCCCCTGTTGCCCCCTTATTTTCCCCCTCATCTCATGCCCTCTCATCTTGAGCTCACTCTGTCCTCCACAGACCCCACTACTCTGTCCTGGGGCAGGTGCCAGACACAGATGTTTACAGAGACATGGCAGAGTACTCAGAGGTGAGTGGCAGGGGCTGAGGAGATGCTGTGGGTGGGGTGGGACAGAGGCAGAACAGGCCTTTGTCAGTCCCATCCACACCTGACATTAAGAGCTAGGGACAATTTGGCTTTTGGTCCTTGATATTTCAAGTGAGGGGTTTGGGTCTATGGCCATTCTGGGCCCCTTCTGTGCGGGGACAGAAGAAGAGTATATAGAGATGGGTCCATGGGGGAGATGGTCTTAAGAGTAAATAGCACAAGCTTCATTTTGTAGAGCAGCCCTGGGTCAGGGGTGCCAGAGGTGCAGGATGATAGAGCACCAGTGTTCAGGGGTCTGCTTCCTGATCTGGTCAATGGAGTTACTAAATCTCCAATCACTCACCTCTTGAGAGGTCTTGTGCCGGGTGCTGGGGACAAAAGTAGAGGGCTCTGGAATAAGATAAAGTGTTGTCCCCAAACGTGGAGCTTTGAAGGCTGAGCACAGTATGATTAGGCAGAGTGGAGGAGGAAGCAAGGGCTCTGAAATGTGGGGGATGGTAGGCGGGAGCAGCCCCACTGGATGGAAAGGGAACTGGGAGAGTGGGGGCACATTGTGTGCTGGTGGGAATGCTGAGCAGAGTTGGAGGCTACATCTCGAATGGGGTAGAGAGCCTGGTTGAGATAGCAGCTTAGGAGGGTCTCAGGCTGTGTGCGGAGAACAGGCCACAGGGCAGGGGTAGAGACCCAAGAGGAAGAGGAAGAGCTGCCTAAGCCTGGCTCCGGGGAGTGGAGGGAGATGTGGGGAGGAAAGGGTAGGGGATGTTCCCTGGAGGAAGCTCTGCCAGGCCTAGGCCAGGGTAGGGGAGTGGGATGGGGTGGTGATGGGAGGAATGTCACAATGACATCATCAAGCCTCTGGCCTAAGCACCTGTGGGACATGGGGCCCTAGGCTGGGCCCACATTGGTTAAGGAGCAGAGGGTTGGGGGTAGTGGGCACTGGGGTGCTCTAGGGAGGAAAGACAGGGAAACAAGATGCTGCTGAAGGAGTGACATGCTCAGCCGCCCCCAACTCCAACCTGTCCCAGGCCAAGGAGGTCCCCGGGGTGAAGATCTTCCGTTCCTCAGCCACCGTGTACTTTGCCAATGCTGAGCTCTACAGCGATGCGCTGAAGCACAGGGTAGGGCACGGAGCCCCCGGTGGGTGTCAGGCTGGTGCCAGGCCCCTTCCTCCCCAGAGCGCCCACACCCCTTCTGTCCCATTTGCCGCCAGTGTGGTGTGGATGTTGACCACCTCATCTCCCGGAGGAAAAAGCTGCTCAGGAAGCAGGAGCAAAATCTGAAGCGACTGCAGAAGGAGAAGCAGCCCCAGAAACAGGCAGGGGCCCCTTTCAGCCATTGACTCCTGGCCTCTGCTACTGACCCCACTCAGCCTTTTTCCCATTCTCCTGGGTTCCTGACCTCCCACCTAACTCTTTAGCCCTTCTCCTTTCTCCCTAATGCCCCCAGGAACCCCATCTCACTCCTCTAGCAGGTCAGGATTCTAGGTGGCATTTTGTTTTTCTCTCATCTCCTGAGCCAGTGATAGTGTGAACCACCACAGTCTTCTTCTGTTTGTATGACTGTTCCTGGAACTGGTCAGAACCCCACAGCCTGCGGGCTAGCTGGTGACTGAGCAGATCCCTGGGTCCCACAGCTTGCAGTCCTGGCCCACTTATCTGCCTAAAGCCAGGGAATGACACCAGGCCTGCCTGGAAAGGCTATCATGTAGCAGCTGGGTGAGCTCTTTCCCATCCCCCACTCTTTCTGGCCTAGGTTGCCTCCTTCAAGGACACTTCATTCTCCATCCATGTCAACACTAGCCTTGGAGATACTGAGGTCAACAATGTGGAGGACTCTAAGGTCAAGGTAAGGCTGGCATGGGAGAGGAGGGCCAGCTGTGAGCTGCAGAGGCGTGGGTACCCATATGTGTCCTGGGAGGGAAGCCATGGACCTACTGGGTGTGGGTTCAAGGCTGTAGATTCATGATGCTAATCAGAGAAATGGGGTGATGGACAAGCTGAGTCTGTGGGGAGCTCTTTTGTGACAAGAACTCTGCTTGTGGCTCTCTTGTCTGTAATCTGACTTTGAATGTGTAGATGCCATCAGACCCCACAATCTGTGCTCTTGGATAAAGAAGAGGAATTAGATATGTGGGGAAAATTCTAGGTGTTAAAGCTCAATTGGAAAGCCCAGCTGGGTGTGAAGTGTCTGTGTGCGAGTGTGTGCACACATGTGCATGTGCATCTGCGGGGCTTACCTCCCCACAGCCTCAGCTCTGTTCCTGGTCCCCCCACCCTACTCCACTCCAGTTGGCTGAGAATGGGGTATGGTCTCCCAGCTCACTCCCTTTTCAAGTGTCTTTATTAAGCCTCAGCCTGGCAGGTGGCAGAGCAGCAAGTGCATGTCTGTGTGTTCCCCTAGTCTTGCATGCTCTCCTGTGCATGTGTGTTGCTGCTTCCTCATGTCTTTGTCCTCATGTGTCCTCTATACATCCCCAGTGTGCCCTCCATGTATGGGGGTGTTTAACACTGGGCACATGTCCCACATCTGATGCTGTGTGTCCCTGCCCTCACCTCATCATGGGCAGCCCTTGCAGCATGTCCAATTCCCCAGGAGGTGAGCACAGAGGATGAGCAGGATGGTACAGTGGCCAGTGGTCAAGAAGGTGCCAAAGCTCCAGATGTGTTCACACTGAAGGCCCTGGGCCTGCCTCAGCCAGACTTCCACAGCCTCATCCTGGACCTGAGTGCTCTTTCCTTTGTGGACACTGTGTGCATCAAGAGCTTGAAGAATGTGAGGGGCTGGGGCACCCCCAAGAAAGACCCAGGGGAGGACAGGGCTCCTCAAGCCTCCACCCTGACCCCATAACTTGCTCTGAGAGCCCTGTGAGCTACCTCTCCTAGCCCTTTCCCCCCAGCTTGCCTGAGTCCTCCCTTTTCTGCTGCAGATTTTCCGTGACTTCCGGGAGATTGAAGTGGAGGTGTACATGGCTGCCTGCCACAGTGCGTGGGATGGGGACAGCTGGAGTGGTCTGGGGAAGGGATGGGGTGGGGCTCTTCTGGTCAGGGGATCTGCCAGGTGGCATAAGGAAAAAGTCTTTCTCTGCAATTGGAGGTCATAGGTGTCCTGGGAGTCAGGAGTGACTGAATGGGATTAGTTACAGCCTCAGGGGCAGAGGTCAGGGGTAAGAGGGGTCAGGGTGACTGGGAGCTGGGGTGTCCTGGTGGTTCTGAGAGTCAAGGGAGGCCCATTCTTCGCCTATAGCTCCTGTGGTCACTCAGCTTGAGGCTGGGCACTTCTTCGATGCATCCATCACTAAGCAGCATCTCTTTGCCACTATCCATGATGCTGTTACCTTTGCCCTCCAACATCCAGGGTCCAGCTCCATTGGCCCTGTTTTGGTGAGCTGACTCCTGACCTCTGGCCCACTGAGCCCTTTTTTGTTTATTTATCGCTTGTCCCTACCCTGACCTTGGGAGCCCCATCCTGGTGACCACAGCTCTGCCTGCAGTGGACCTTCTTGCCTTCCCCCAACCCCACCTTCTGGGAAAGCTATTTCTCTGGACAGGGGATGCTGTCCTGGGGGGAGAGGTTGGTACGTGTTGAGAGAAGCCTTTGGAAACCCACTGGAGCCTCTCCTCCTCTGCCTTGTCAGGTCACCAAGCTCTGACCAGGTTGTTGTCCTGCCTGTGACTGCCTACTTCTGGAGGATGTGACGGGGAGCCCTCAAGATGCCTCCACCCCTAGGCCACCTCCAGGTGCCACCCAGGATTCCCCTCCATGTACACACATATACACAACTCAGGGATGGAGGTCCTGGAATGGGGTCCTGGAGCCAGGTGGGCACTGACTGGGGTTGGGGGGCAGGGCTGAAGCAAGTTTTTAAGAATAAAGATTTGTTTGCCTACCTCCAGGCTCTCTTGTGACGTGGTGGGGCTTGGCTGGGAGTGGGAGGGAGAGTCCTCAGCCCTGGCTCCTGATCCTTCTTATGCCCCAAAGTGGGAACTATGATCAGAAGTTGGGCAAGATTTGGGGAGGGAAGTGTCAGGAGAGTATGGAGCAAGGGGGAGAGCTGTAGGGCCAGACTCAAGGTGCCACATGCCAGGTTCAAGTTCCCCTCAGTCATGCACAGCCCTCAGATCCTGTTCCTCAGCTGTAACAGCTGGAATCAGAGCTGCTTCTCAAAAGTAATCAATTCTCAGGGATACCTGATAATGTGCAGGGTTGGGCAAGTGCCACTGGGCAGTACCCAGAGGATATAGAGTGAACACCTGAACCTGCTCAGAGAGTATAGATATTCCCAGGTGTTGCTGGTCTGTATTGAAAAGTAAGAACAAACTAGATGGATTTGCTTGAGAAAAAATGCCTGTTCATGTCATTAGCTCACCTGGGCTTTGTGGTCACTGGCAGCCAGGAAGCATGTGTTGATTTCTACTGTACAGTGCCAATATTCAGGCATATGGCACAATGGGTAGTAGTCAGACTCCCCAGGCCCCAGTGCTGACAAGGATTGAGTGATGGGGTGGAGGTAGGGGGCTAGAAACTTCCAGAGCATGAGATAAGTCCTGCTTATCAGTAGAACAGGAATGGTAATAGTACCTGCCTCATGGGGTTGCTAAATGAGTACTAAATGAGTCAACACCAAGAAATGCTTAGAACACCTGCTCAAAACGTGAGTTTTGCCACTCATTGGGTACGGACCAGGTGCCAGGCTCTGTGCTGGGTGCTGTCCCAGACTTGAGAGTGGATAGAGGCTGACCTGCCCTCCAAGTCGCTCAGGTGTCCCTTGCCCAGCTCTGCTTTTATTATGCTCCATCTGCCTCCCCCTTCCACCCTGGAACCTCAGTCCAGGAAGGCAGAGTGATTTGTCTGCTCCGGCGTGGTCATGTCCTGGCGCCAGGAATGCTGTGTGGCACATGGCAGGTGCTAAGTAAATACTGACTGAAAGAAGCTGATATACTGGAGTGGGAGGCAGACCTCAAGCAATTTGCAGGTAGTTGGAAATGCTTTGAATAAGACAGGCGTCATGTGAAAGATTTGTGTTACCCAAGATGGTCACAGGAGGAAGATTCAGGGAGGAGGTGACACTTGAACTGAGACTCCAACTGTGTGAAGATGTCTTTCTAGGAGCAGCATTTCTGGCATCGGGAACAGCAGACATGTTCTGGGAACATGAGGAAGGCCTGTGTGCCTGAAGCAACTAGAACATCAGTTGATGGCTAGAACACAACTCTCAGAGCCTCACAGGCCAGGGTGAGGCCTTCAGGCTTTATTCTGAGAGGGGAGCTGCTGGTGGGTTTTGATGAAAGGCCTGTCAATCTGACCCATGTTTTTTAAACACTGCTGCAGTGGAGACTATGAGGCGGAGGGGAGGGGAGGAGGGGAGGGAAGCAGTGAGCAGCTTGGCCTGGGTTGGTGCTGCCACTGGTGGAGAGCTTCTGGCTTTAGGGGCTGCCCAGGTTGAGGAGGTCTGGAGGGAAAAGAGGCTCTCCTTCAATCTTAGGCCAAACCACCAGCTAGGAGAGTGGGACCCAGAGCCCCAAGCCTGCCATCCTCCCTCAGCCTTGAAACCTAGCTTCCCTTTGTTGTCCACTACCACCTGTTTCCTAGACATGGGCCCAGCTGGAACCAACTGCCTTGGAGCTGGAGCCAGGGCTGCCACCTGGGGGAGGGGTGTTTGCTGGTTGCCAGGCGCCCAGGTTCCGGCCTCAGATACTTGCCAAAGCCATGCTGCACGCACTGCACTTACTGCCCTTACTGTTCCTGCTGGCAAAGACTGCCCCTACACAAGCCTGGTCACGGCCCCTCTGGTACCAGGTGGGGCTGGACTTGCAGCCCTGGGGTTGCCAGCCCAACAGCTTGGAGGGTTGCAAGGGTGGCCTGGGCTGTCCTGGCTATTGGATGGACCTGGGCATATCAGACCACATCTACCCTGTGGCTGGGGTCACCGTCACCACCACCATGATGCTGGTGATCAGCCGAGCGGTGTTGCAGCGGCGCCGTGCACTGATCCCCAAGGCTGAGGTGAGCACAGCACTGCTCTGTCCTCCCTGGCCTCCCGCCTCTGCTTGTATCCAATAGTCTTCACCCAGCCCTCCCCATCAGCTCATCCATTCCCCCACTCATGCCTTGTGGGCCTCTTGCCTTCCCCAACTCATATCTCAAGGTCGCTACATCTGTCCACCCATATCCATGGAGCCCATGTCCATCCATCCATCAGGCTTATGCCCCATTGCCAGTACCCCGCATACACATGTCCCCCTTCAGTACTCCTGCTTCTCATTCAGTCCATGGGCCCCCTGACCACCCTTCTTAACCCACAACAGGCACTCACCGATCCTCCATTGCCCTTAGCTCCACTCCCTTTAGGCACTGTCCTCCACCCTACTCCTCCACCCTAGTTCCATTTTTGCTCCTAACTGTACCCCATTCTCTCCCTCCATGTCCTCTCACTCCTGCCTCTTGGTCCTAGCCTCAGCATGCACAGGTGACCACTGAGCCTTGTAGACCCAAGAAGCAGCGGGGTCCGATCTCAGACCGAGCCCTTCTCTTGGGTGTCCTGCACATGATGGATGCCCTCCTGCTTCATATAGAGCGCCACCTGCAGCGTCTAGCCACCCAGTCACATATCCAAATAAAAGGGAGTCCCACTCAGAGTGGGTGACCTGATACATGTCTCTCTTTGCCTGATGACTGGCTGGCATGGATGGCCTGGGTCCTGGGCTAGGGCTTGGGTCTTTGCATCAGCTCTCCCTGGGTCTGCCTAGACCTTATGTCCCCTTGCCCACTCAGCACCAGGTGACTTATTGAGATACTCATGAGGGACTGGGCCTCAGTGCCCAGGATGGATGCGTGGGGCTCAGGCTGGCTCATCACCCCCACTAACTGATCCCTCCTTTCTAAAGAACCCACTTCCAATCACTCACCACTGCTCTCCTGGCCTGACTGGCCTCTGGGGAGCCCCAGTGTAGTGGGAGAAGAGGTGAGCATCAGGGTGATCCAGGGAAGGCTGTCCTGACGAGTGGGTGTGGAAAAGGGCACCACAACAGAGGCTCCTGTCTGAGTGAAGGCCACGTGCTGTGAGTGATACTCGAGGCACACTGGCCAGGTGGGCAGCACTCAGTGCCAGGCGAGGGGTCAGGTTTCTCCAATGTGCAGGGGGAGTGGAGGAGGAGGGGCCTAGTTAGCTAAGGAGTGTTCCGGGCAATGGTGAGGCTGGAACCAGACTCTGAGGAGCTCTGAGGGGGTACTGAGTGTTCTGGGTCCTCAGTCACCATAGGGTCACACTTGCTCTCTTGCTTCACCCCTGACACTGCCTCAGAGAGGCTGCCGAGGAAACTTACGACTTTCGTCCTGCCAGCAAAATGCAACTGGCTCAGGTATCCTTTTTCCCTGGCCCTGCAAGGAAGAAGAGCAGGGGTGTCGCTGCTCTGAGTTTGCAGGCAACCACTCCCTGGTCACTGGACTGCTACCCGCTCTTCCTTGTTGAGGCCCAGTAGCCTCAGCCTGGAACCAGGTGGGCAGGCTGAATTGCCTTCATCTTTATGGAGGCCTTGAATGTGCCCTGGTGCCTGAGTGGGCCTTGCTCCAAGGCCCTAGGAAGTGGAGTGAGGGCTGAACCTCACTGAAGGAGCCTTTACCCCTTTTCTCTCTTCCTTCTACCACAGACGATCCAGGCTGAGTGGGGTCTGAGACCTGTGCATTTTTAGGGTCCCTGTTTTAGAAAAAGAATACCAAGTTATGAATTCAGAAATAGAAACAGAAGTTAATAAAAACAATGAGGCAAGAAATCACAACAAATAATAAATTTTGAAAAGTCGGCAAACACTGTTAATACAAAATCCAGAAAAATAATATCTTTTTGCTGACTTCCTGACATATTTTTGTAATTTTTTTTTTCCTACGTATTCTGGCTGCTCATTCTGATGGCCTCTATACAGAACAAAGATTTTATCATTTTTTTTGGTTGTAGTTGATAGGTTTTTTTTTTTTTTTTACCTTTTTTGTTGTTGAGAACATACACAGCAAAAACACATACCAATTCAAATTTCTACATGTACAATTCAGTGACATTGATTACATTCTTTGATTGTGCAGTCATTCTCACCCTTCATTTCTGAGTTGTTCCTCCCCCATTACCATAAACTGACTGCCCCCTAAGGTTCCTATCTAATATTTTGAGTTGCTGTTGTCAATTTGATCCCATGGAGATAGATCTTAAAAGGCACAATGCTCAAGGCAGACATTTCTACTAGTTAAGCTATGATGACTTTAGAGGATATATATATATGTATATATATATATATATATATATATATATATATATATATATATATATATATATAATTATTATTGTGCTTTGGGTAAAGTTTACAGAGAAAATTCATTTTCCACATAGCAGCTGAACACATTTTGTTTCATGACATTGACTGCAATTTCCCACAATCTAATAGCTGTCTTCCCACTTCCTCCCTGTAGTTACCTTCAGAGGATATTTTTGGTTTAAGGTTTAAAGATGATCTCAGGCAATCATTTCAAGGTTCATCCAGTCTCGATGGCTCCAGAAAGTATGGATTCCATGCGACTTTGAAATTCTGTTCTCCATTTTCCCCCTTTTGATCAGTATTCTTCTTTTTGGAAAAAAAAAAAAATTTTATTATGATTTAGGTGAAAGTTAGATTTTGTATTTTTTAGAAAATATTTTCAATGGAGAGAATAGAAAGATAACTCAGTTTTCCTTCTAACATGGTTGATTGAAATTTGTGTTCCAATTATTGATAGTTCAGAAAAGTTCTTTCATTTTGTAACTTGTTATTGATGGTGTAAAATGAAAATTCTAGATTACTGTCAAATTTGGGAAACCTCCATCCACTTTTTTTCATATGGGAAATGTAAGATTTGGAAGAATTTTCCCCGGATGAACTTCCGGCTCCATACATTTCAAACCTTGTCTTCCCTCTATGGCCCAGAATTTTTCCAGTGCTGGGTGCTGTGGGCCAGTTACTAGGACCTTGCACTTCTGAGCTGGAAGCTCTGACCCAGCAGGAGGTTCCTGAAGGCCATTCCTACACCAGGATGGGAACTTCACCATACACAAAAGTAGAGCAAACCATTATAAATAGTTAGTCCCTGGGTGGCACAAACTGTTAAGCGCTCAGCTGTTGACTGAAAGGTTGGCCATACGAACCCATCCAGAGGCACCTCAGAAGAAAGGCCTGGAGATTTGCTTCTGAAAGGGCACAGCCTCAAAAACTCTGTGGAGCACAATTCTCTGACAAATATGCGGTCACCATGAGTCAGAATCAACTTGACCGCAATTAGTTTGCTTTTTGGTTTTAAACTCAATCCAAGTGTATCCCTGCAGTCGAGTTGGAGAGCCCCCTTCAAGGAAGGTCTGCTGCTGCTGCCAGCCACTGAGCCAGTGGCCAGAGGGCAGAGCCCTCTTGAAACTAGCCTTCTCCCTTTGCCCAACCCTTTCCCTCCCTCCTTCCTCAGGGGCTGACCATAAGAGCTCCCTGGTAAACATCCTGCACCACTCTGATTGGCCTCTCAGAGCCTGTTTCCCAGAGACCTAACCTGGGATAGTCTCCAAACCACCTTCCTCTCAGCTGGATTCTGACATGGCCTCTCCCATATCTCCCATATGAGGGAAAGTAGGAGAGAGAGGAGTCTGAATAAAAAAGCACAGACATCCTACTTGAACGCAGTTAGGATATATTAATTTCACAAATTTTTAAAAAACATTTGACCCTGTGGGCGCACTGCCAGGGCGCCTCCCAAGGCCTGGGAAAGAAGAGCACTAAAACTCGAGCTTCATCAGCCTCTCGTTAGGCCCACTTCCGCATTCTCATTCTACAAGGTTTATTGAACACCTCCTGTTTGCCAGCTCTGTTGTGAACCAATGTACACAAAAGACCCGGCTCCTCCCTCATCCACTCAGAAGCCGGTGATGGTGGTGGTGGTGGTAAAACCTACTCAAAAAGGCAATTACTCTGCAGAGCTATGCTGGCCCCACAGAGGTGTGGCAGGGTTGGACTGAGTGCTGGGACCTGTAGGATGAGTCGGTGACTAGAGGTGGGGAAAAGTGTCCAGTCAGAAGGGTAAGCACATGTAAGGTCCCAGCGAGAGGGATGATCTTGACCTGTTCCAAGAACTGTAAGGTGCTCAGGACTTTAGGAGGGAAAAAGGGCTCTAGAGGGCAGAAGGAAGTGGGCTGGGGAGGGGCAAGACTTGGATGACTCCTGACAAGGGTGTGGTAGGCAGAACAGTGCCCCTTTTCCCAAAGATATCTATGTCCTAATCCCTGAGACCTGTAAGTATGTCATATCATGTGGCAAAAGGAACTTTGCAGATGGAATTAAGGTTAAGGACCTGAAAATAGGGAGATTATGCTGGATTATTTGGATGAGCCCAATGCAATCACATGAGGCCTTAAAAGAGGAAAAGGATGACAAAAAGAGTTGGTTGGAAAGATTTGAAGTGTGAGATGAACTCCACCTTCCATTGCTGGCTTTGAAGATGATGGAAGGGGGCCACAAGCCAAGGAATTCAGGTGGCCTCTAGAACCTCGGAATAGCTCTCAATTGACAGCCAGTGGAGTGGAGTGGAGTGGAGGGGGTGCTGGACTGGAGGGGACTTAAGAGAGGATGGGAGGAGAGGAAAGGAGCTCTGGTGGTTCAGTGCCTGAGGCACCTGACTTCTAACCAGAAGGTCAGTGGTTCAAACCCACTGCCATTCCATGGAAGGAAGACCAGGCAATCTACTTCCATAAAGATTTACCACTTCAGAAACCCAATGGGGGTCGCTATGAGTTGGAACCAACTCGATGGCAGTGGGTCTGGTTTCTTTTTTGGTGGGGGGGGGAGGAGAGGAATTGGAGGCAATGAGCATAGCCAACTCTTTGGGGGAGCTTGGCTAGAAGGACGGCATAGGGTGGTGGTCACTGAGAGAGGGTTGTGGGGCAAAGAGAGAGTGTTTTAATGATGGGATGCTCCCAGCTTTTGCAGTAAATTCTGCAGCAGCACAGGCTTTGGAGGATTGAGCAGGGTGGGCTCCAGGATGCCAGGCCCCAGATGTCCTCCCCAAAGGTAGCTGGCATCCCAGTAGGGACTAGAACATGCAAATAAACAAGTAAAGAGGCATATTTATTTTCATCTCTTTTGTCTGCATATGGCATTCACTACATATATATGTATATATATTTACTATATATATATATATACACACATGCACACACACATCTTGCTTTTTTTATTTAATGACAATAATAATTATAGTCATTGCTGATAGTTATGTAACAGTTACACTATGCCAGTTTCTGTTCTTTATATATATTAGATAATTTAATGCCTCACAGCTCCATGGGGTATAATTTTGGAGATGAGTATACTTAAATACAGAGAGGTCAAATAACTGTGCCAAGGGTCCACTGTTAGTGAGAAGCTCAGTGCCCAAGTCATAACCTGTAGCTCGAATCTCCACAAAGTGAACATACGTGGGTGACAACTATCTGAGTCAAGAAGCTCAAGCCCCACCTGGTTCATGCCTTTCTCAGCCATGACTCTCTTCTTCTCAAAGACAACTATGATCTTATGATCTTTATTCTTAACACCAAAGGTGAGTTTTCTTACAGTATTTTGAAAATGCCTCTCCATCATCTTCTGG